AATGACTAAATTTTGATCCCTGAAATTCTTGGTAATACCAATGTTCACTTTGTCTGGTTTTGTTGCAGTATGCCCCATATTATAAAACTGATAATTATAATCACATTACAAATGACTAAATTTTGAGCCCTGAAATCCTTGGTAATACCAATGTTCACTTTGTCTGGTTTTGTTGCAGCATGCCCCAAATGCCATCTGGTAAAAGGTGGATATGATTTAAAATATCAAGTGTTGGTTTCTTCAGATCTATGTATGACCCAAGAGCCAGGTTTTTAAATAGTATCCAATTGACTTGAGCACAATGATTTACTAGTGGTTGACTTAAAATTGGATTGAGGATTAATTGTCAGTCATTTCTAAAATTAGTACATGTGATAATCGATCAACCCGTGATATATTATCACAAAATTAATATTAAAGATTTTAGTATTAGTATTGGGTATATTATATATATCCGATAATGTTTTATCAATAAAATCAAAAATTGAATTTTCGCAAAAAGTTTAAAAAAAAAAAAAAGGTTTCATCCTGTTTAATTTCCAGAGAATTTGTGTCGCAAATCTTTTTGTATGAATGACCAGTGAGTTGCAAATAAATAATAACAATAAATAAAAAAAATAAAATATAAAATATATTAGTGTGTATACATGTAAGATTTTTAAATAACAACGAACATACCTTTTCCCTCCTTATTAAATTAAAAATAAAAAAAAAATCAAATCTTTTACTATTATTAACTATAATAAAAAACTTTTAGGAAAATTATTTATTTTGTAACACTTTTCTGCTATTTTTTTTATTGTAAAATTTCTTTTTTTATAATTTGTACAGTATTACCTTTTAATAATCCTTTCTTTCAGGAGTTTTGGTTTTTTTTTCTTTTCTTTTAATAAAAAAAAAAAAGGGTAAGTCAATCAATATTCAATCAAATTAAAGACTCGTTTATCTATTTTTTGTCTTTTTTTTTTGTTAGCATATATATTTTTTTGTAAAAGTGAACAAAATATAAGAAATTATGGGTGGGCAACTTACTAAAGAACAATCAGATTTACCATTTGGTTATCTTTCACCAAAAGATCTTGAGAATGAAAAAATACAAAACCTCCTTAAAAGTCGTAATAATGTTAAAAATATGAAAAAACTGATAACAAATGCTTCAAATACCGAGGAAGATAACAATATAATGGAGTATTCTTTAAACAACAATAATGAAAATGAAAATGACAATAACAACAATAACAACAATCACGATAACATCAACAATGATATCAATGATGATAATAATGATAATATCAATCATTATTTTTTTCAACATCGTAATGAAATAGTTCCTTCTTCTGACGATGAAGATGAAGAAGATGATAAAATGTCTAATGATGATGACTATAACTACGGTGATGATAAACTCCATACTAGTGATGATGATGACGATGATGAGGAGATACTAAAGGGTGAATTAATACCGATTACATTCAAAGATATACCCGATTTAAGAGATATTGAGTATTGTGGATTTGGAATTGTTAAATTAAGTCCAAACATTGGTTATTTATATATTACAACGCATTTACAAATGTAAGCAATGTTAATTACTACCACTACTAATAGTAGTAATAATTTGTCTATTGTTTGTCTCTAAATTACCCGATTTTTTTTTATATTCAGTTGTTGTGATAATCTGAAAGAAATACCATCCGAAATAGGAAATATGAAAAATTTAACGTCTCTTGATCTGTCGAGAAATAAATTAAAATATTTACCAGATTCGATAGGTTCGTTAGATAAATTAATTAAATTAAGATTATCTTCAAACAAATTAAAATATCTGCCGGCATCAATCAGGAATTTGATAAAATTAACAGCATTATTGATTGATAGTAATAAAATAGAAGAACTTCCTCAAGAAATAGGACAATTAACCAATCTAATAACTTTTGATGTTAGGAATAATCCAATCACAGTATTTCCTGCTGAATTAGGGAGGTTAAAATATTTAAGGACATTATTAGTCGAAGGATGTCCTTTGAAAACTGAATTCGTTCATGAAATAGATCATTCACCACCAACTTTGATGGAGTTAGCGGCTCGTAAAATAATAAAATTCAACTTGTTAAATAATTTAGAAGGATCGAATAATTCAATAAGGATCTCTAGTAATTTGGAAAATTATTTAAAAAATTATAAAAAATGTAGTTATTGTGGTGGACCTTATTTTAATCATCATGTCAAGAGAGGAAAAATCATTGAAAAAAATGATAATAGTATACCATTAGAATATAAATTATGTTTTCCACATTGGAATAATGAACAGGAACGAATCAATTTATTATTCTGTAGTATTAAAGATCACGATGATAATAATTTCATTGTTAGTGATGATAATATTTTTGAAGAAGATAATAACAATAACAATAACAATGGCAATAACAATAACAATAACAATAACAATAACAATAACAATAACAATGTTACCAAGAAGTCGAATAATTCATATAGTAATAATAGACCGTTGTCTTCAACATCAACTCGTAGTCCTTCAAGAGTATCGAAAAGAAACAGTTCAACCTCAATGATATTAGGAAAATCTATAAAGTTAAATTCAAAATTAAGGAAAATAAGCAATAGATTGCGTAATAATACAGCTTAATTAATTTTTAATTTTTATATTCCTTTCTAATAAAATTTTTTTTTGTATATATATATATATAATACCTATATTAATTAATAATTTATTACATTTTTTAAATTTCTCATTTTTTTATCAAAAAAAAAAAAATTTAATAAATAATAAATAATATAATTATATAATAGTAATTGGCAATTGATTACTGACAAGATTAACAAATAACAAGTAAGGAAGCATTCATTTATCAAAGCTTTGGTGAAATTTGTGTAACTAGTACAAATTTATCAAAAGTTATTCCCACAAACAGATGATCTGAATTAACGCGAATAAATATTTATAAATACTTTGTTGTCACTCTGAAAAAAAGAAATTAAATTAATAAATGCCTTTGGAAGATAAACTTGGCAGTTATATCGGCTACCGCAAGAATATATTGAATCTAATTCTAAACACCGACTTGAAATTAAAGATTTAAATTTTTTTAAAAAAAAGTTTTGTGATTGTGGTGATATTGGAACTGGTACAATGATAATAATAAAATCAAATGCGTGCCTAACAAAGGCTTGCTGTATGGAGCGACATTATTAGAGCTTGAAGAAGAAGAAAATTTAGGGATTAAAGTTGATTTGCTTTGTTATTATCAGAAAAAAAGCAAAATTTTAGAAAAGTTGAAAAGCACAACAAATACTAATATAATATTCAATTCATTAAAAAAAAAAATAAATATGAAGTTTTAATGCATATCATATTGGAATTTGTTCTAAATGTTTAAAAAATGACATTTACGAAAGTCTTTCTTCTGATTTGACAATACCTGAAGCGGATTTATGCGAGGATTTGTGCAAAGAATGCAGATTTGGTGTTTGCAACAAGTATGATCAACCCAATTCACACAATAAATGGTGTCAAAGATGTGAATATGGTATTTGTGTGGATTGTTTCGATGTAAATGATTATTATGGATACTGTGAAAAGTGTAATAGTCATGGGTTTGTCCTATTTGTGAGAACTATAATATTATTTTGAGTAATTGTAAATCATGTTATATTAAATCAATAATATTAAGTCAAGGAGAATCGAAGTCAAACGAAGAGGCAACACTAACAAAAAGACTGTTGAATGTATTGAACAATCGGTATTAATAATCTGGAATGGATTCCATATGATAGATTGAGTAATATCAAGAGAATGACAAAAGGAGGATATTTTCTGCGATTTGGAAAGATGGAAAGAAAAGTATTCAAGATTTTATTAAAAAACATGATAAAACTTGTCCTATTGAGCCATCTGTAGAGAGTTTGGAGCCTATTAAAGTTGTAATCAAAGAAACAGAAACAAATGAAACTTTTTGGAATGAAGTAAGTGGAAAATAATTTCAAAAAAAAAATTTTTTCAATTAAATTTTTTTCTTTTTTTCCTTATAATAATCGAAAGATAGATTACTATAAAGAGAAGGATTGTCTTTATGCCCATGACATTGAATCCTATGGGGTAACACTACGTCCAATTACCAAAAGGCCTTCTATAGTGATGGAATTGGGTAGTTTATGTGATTTTGTTGGTAAACTAGGTTGGAGAGCTAAAATTGAAAATATCAGACTCATTGTCAAGTCTCTTTCTAAACTACATGAACTAAATTATATACATGGTGATTTACATAGTGGAAACATACTTGTCAAGAAATATCTAACCAATGAAATCAATAACAGTAAATTGGTTTTTATACTTTCAGACTTTGGACTGATGCATAAACCAGAATCAATTTGTCAACCAACAGATAATATATGCGGAATTCTGGAAATGATCCTTACAAGTAATGTATTAAATTATTCTATTGATTCTTAATAGACTTACATATTGATTTTTATATAATCAACAGGGATAAGCTTAATGTTAAACAAGCAATAGATTCCATATTTGAAGCTTGGGAAAATGTGAATGAGAGAACTATTGTGGATTGTTGGAACAAAGTTGGAATTTTACCATCCTCAAACACGACTACTATTTCTGATGCATTAATTTCTCTAGATGAGAACCAAATCAATGAATTACAAGAAATATTGGATGATATAGTTGATAATGTTAGGGGATGATGATGTTAAAAATGATTTATTAATTTATTTTAATGATTCTCAAAATGCTTCTATGAATGAAATGTTGAGTGATGATCAGATTATTCAATTAGTTACAGGACTGGATGTTGATAATTAAGGTTGTGGGTGAAACTCCTCCAGAAATCAATTGACAGAGTTTTGACATGTTACACATTAATTGTTTATTAGAGAGTTTTGTGTTTGGGGTTTTATCAATCATTGGAGTTTTGACAAGGTATATACTAATTGTTCATTAGAGTTTTGACAGAATTTTGACAGTCACTAGAGGTATTGGCAAACAGCCTTATTGATAATAGTGATGAAAGTAGTGAAGGAGGATTTTAAGAACAAAAGATAAGTGATAAAGCTGCATTTGATGCATAAAAATATGGATTAATTGTCGTGAGCAGCAAGAAGAAATATATAATTTATTAATGAAAATGATTTTGGTAATTAAGAAAATATTTACAACATATGAATAAAAAGGTAGACAAACCAAAATTCAATCTTTTTATCAATAAATAAAAATACTTTTATAATGAGTAATTTAATATATTGTATATTGTGTCTTGTTTTCTATAACGCAAACATGGGCCAATTATAAATTTATATTATAGAATTAGTATTGGGTAAAAAAAAGTTGATTTTCCTAGTGCAAACTCCCATTTTTGAAATAATATTTTGTGTTACATAGTCTGTACTACACCCATGTAGTCATACCTCTATATTTTCCCGGTCCTGAGGGTATGATTATATAGAGATATGACTGTATATATGTATGTATGTATATATATTATAATAAATAAAAATGAGACTACCTTGGCATGAATCATTACTAGCTTTTAATATCAACTACAACTCTTTACATGAGCAAACAATTTAGTAAGAAAATTTTTTTGGAATGGTAATATATTCAAGTAGTTATTCATACAGGCTTCCATTATTTTATACATTTGCAATATATTATTATTACTTTTTAAATTCACAATTTATCCAACAATAAAGTTAGATTGGTAATTCATGGTTGGAGATTGAAAATACCACCCACTCACTTGTTGGCTCTCATTAATTAATTAATTCATTTGCCTGAGCTCAACAAAGCTTGGACGTATCAAGCATTTATGTGGTATGATTTGTAAACTATAAAAATAAGAGAAGTATTACTTTATTATTCATTGATTTGTCAATTGTATAAAAAAGCACTTATCAATTTAGTAAAATACAGATCATGGAAAAGTAATAAATTAGTGAATTATTAATAAAAATATCCTTAAACTTGGATAATTACAATGCTTAGCTGTTTTTGCTAAGGATATAAATGCAATTATCAACAGGTCAATGTAATATGTCTATTTGTAATGATAAATTGTAATAACAAATGGTCATATATCAGAGTAAATTATATTGGCTGTTTTATTAAATGTATTAATTCGTAATCCGTGAAACAACTGCAAAAATTTGCCGATCATTAATACGTTTTTGTGGCGATAATAAACATTATAATTTTCAGAAGTTTTGAGAATCTGACATTACCTCACGTGACCAACGTGAGTCAAGAAAATTACACAACCACGATAATTTTTATTTTATTTTAAAGAGTAACTATTAAAAACTAAATAGAAATAACATATTTATATTTTTCTTGGATAAAATTAATTCTACACCCATTTTTACATCATAAATATTTTTAGTTGCTTACTCAAACCTTTAAATTTTATATAGTAATTTTAGGCAGGAATCCAGCGATTCCTACATATAAACATAAAATATTTTATAAGTAAGTCCCTTTGAAAATTTGTATATTTAAACTTCGAGATTCATATCATGTGTTAAAAGTACAATTTTAGTTTATATACACATAAAGGGTGGTTACGTTGGGGGTGAAAGTTGGAGTCTAGAAAATTTTAATTAGTGATCTGCATAATTTTGTGCCAAATTCTGTTAAATTTTGCAAATGTTTCACAGATCACGAATTAATCATTTATCTAATGGGAAAACTGTTTGCTAATTCTTTAAGTAATATGCAAGGTACAACTCCAACAGTTGCTGAAACAGGAAGATCATCTATTACACAATCATCTGGAATGAGTTCAATTCATCATCAACATACCTTGCCAAATATTGTGATTGCACCACAACCCAACTCATAATAAAGCAACCATGGGAACATGTTGAAGATATAATGTCTACTTTAAAAGCATCATTTCCTTTACTAGCTTTAGCAATGGAGACTGTGGTTGATCAAATTCAACAACATCTTAAGCCAAATTCAGATGGGGATATTTATAGATTGATTGTTGCACTTTTAAATGATGGTTTACAGGTATTATTTTATTATTGCCTTTATTGCTGTATGATTTCTAATCATTTGGCAAGGTATTTCATGCAGTTTTTAATTAGTTATTTAATCTTTTTATTATTATTAGCAATGCTTGACTGAACCAGATGTATAAAAAAAATTTTTTAAATGATACGTAAAAGCGCAATTTTTTCTTACCTCTTCCTTATTATCATTCTACCTTTGTGTATCACTGAGAGTACGCTATGTTTTGCAACTTTCTCACATAGTTGTCGCTTTTAGGTGTTATCTTTCCATGTCAAAAAATTGGCTTATTCTTTTGTGTATTACCATATCAAAAATCGGGATTGCACTTTTCCATATCACTTCTCAGCAAAGCTGGTATGGCCAAAAAAAATTCGGACATTACTTTTGGTATCAAAATACAAAAAATTGATCTATACTTTTACATATTACTTTGGATCGTACCTTTGCATATCGCCACATCAAAAAACTGATTGCACTTTTACGTATCATCATATCGAAATCCAATTGCACTTTTATATATCACTATCAAAAATTGGATCATATTGCATATCATATCAATTATTATTGATCTATATTTTTGCAAATGTAAATTTAAAAATAAAATACAAAAAATAGTATGAACTATACATAAGTCTAAATTAAAGCCCAAAAATCAAATTGAAGGTCAAAATGGTCGAAATTACAGAAAAATTAATCAAAAACTTCAAGTCACATAACTCAGTCAGTATCTGGCTTTTTTGGATAAAACAACTACCATTCGAATTCTCTCAATGAGGCGAGTATAATGAAATGTAACACACAAAATTCGAATCACTAATTAGTGAGATATTTTTGTTTGCTGTATACCTTACAATAACTCACCATTTATCAATGCTATGAACATTAAATCACCATTATTCGAATCGCCTTTATGAGAATATTCTAATGAGCCGTGTTTCATTAAAGTTGGATCACTGGTTCTCTCTCTCTTGTGATGTGACATAATTTCGACCATTTGATTTCATGTATAGCACAAACATGTAAAACAATTAATAATCAAATATAAGATTGTAGTCTTCGCCTCATATACGCTTTAATTGAAGATTGATGCATTGGATCATCTAAAAATATAACAAGACAGTATGTAATAAAAAACAATGTTATGTAAAAGTGACAAATATAAGATGTAAAATATAATCTTTGTATTCATTTATAACTCAAAGTTTCAATTTTTGGCTGAATTAAATCATCTTAAGAATAATAACAACAAGATCAGTATGCAATTAAATATAAAAATACTTGTCACATATTTATTAACCAATTCCAATATGTTTTTTGTTTGAATTAAATCATCCAAGAATATAATAAAACAACAAGATCAGGATCAGTATGCAGTAAATAATGATATCATGTAAGAAGGATTTAATAAATAATTAAATATAAAAAATACAATTTTTGTCACATATTTATCCACTGCCTCCAAGCTATCATCCGATTAGAGGATTTGCTTCTATGTTGGAGTTTTGAAATCACTAAAAATACAGGAACAAGATGAGCATGTAATATTAAATATGAAAAAATAATCATAATACAGTGCGTGATATAATGATCTATCGAATCTATCTAAAATACAGGTGGATCTTTTCAATTGAAGACAAATCCTTATATCAGAAATACATTGAACGCTTGATGATCCTTTTTTAAAAGATGTTAAAGATATTATTCGTAGTCCAAAGTATCTTGGCGCTGAATGCATTTATATGATGTTACGAGAACTAAAATCCGAATGTACAATGTACAAAAATTTACAATTCATAATGAATAAAAACTTTCTACCGCACTATTATGAACTGAATATGATTGGTAATTATTTGATGGGATTTTTTTATTTTTTTATTACAAACATATTTATTTAATATATTATTATTTATTTAAACTTAGCAAAAAATTGGTTGTCTTCTGTACGAAACCTTATGATAAATTGCAATAAAAACGACTCTTATACAAAAACAATTGAAAGTATGCAAGTGGCTATTGAATATTTAAAAGGTATCTATATCTGTTCATAATTGATTATATATTTATTTATTATTTATAAATGTAAATATATTTTTTTAATTATTGCTATAGATTTATTAAAGAAACAGAAAAAGGATTATAAAAATTATATAGAAAATCAGATTCCACGACACAAAGCAAAAATTGATGATTTAACAAAAACCACATTTCATGCTATCCATGAAATTTTGGAAGAACGGTATGTGTAATGTTATTTTTAATTATACGTACGTGTGTGTGTGTATATGGTTTTTTTCTTCTAACCAAATATTTTTTATTTAAACCAATTTTCAGTAATGATTTTTTATGTAATTTTGCAATGATTTGTTGATGTTTGTGTTGGGAAAAAAAAATCAAAAAGGGATTTCGATGTTACACGAATTTAATCGCGTTGTATATACAGTGTGTTACAAAAAAAATTGGAAATTTTTAAATTAACATTGTGAAACAACTACTGTATTAGTTTGTGTGAAAAATGGCTCATTTGATAGCTTAAAATCATAATTTTTATTGATAATATTTTAATAAGAAATCCTTTCGCCATTATTTTCAATGACCAGTTCACATCTTGATTTCATTGAATGAATTAAACTAATTAGAAGTGAATTAGGAATTGCATCCCACTCCTCAGCCATAAACTGCACCAA